TTTATAGACTTTGAAAATAAAGTTATATTTTTACACTAGTCAAACCAAGACATTTTTTTTTGTTGGTACAAATTGATGTATACATATATAGTTTTTTGTGTTCTGGTATCAGGTGCTGTAAACATGGTTCGGGCATATTCTGATCACGCACGCAAAAAAAAAGAACCAGTAAATGAAGCAAAAAGTGGAGTTAAAGATTGTACACAGGTATACTGAAACCACTTCTTTTTAATGTTAAACCTTCTATGATCGGGTATTTTTTGGTAATTCCCTATCAAAAAAAGAATTGCGGGTCTATATATAGACCCCCAATTCTTTTTTTGATAGGAAATAATTACTCATTAAGTTTCTTATTTGTTTTTTTGTACTACTGTGTGTGAACTGAATTTCAGTTGTTGATAACTGATGTATGGTCAACTTATACCAATACCTTTGTATTTAACTATAATAATAATAATAATAATAATAATAATAATAATAATAATAATAATGTTACATTTATTTAGCACATATTACACATTGCCCCATATGCGCTTTACACAGAAATGATATAGGCCAACCGAGAAAATACAAATAACAATAAAATAATAGTAAAAAATAATAATCATATTAACAAGGATAACAATGAGGCTAAACTACTCCTATTCCTTAAACTAATTAATGGTTGGCCGTTTACTCCGAGGAACTTATCCGCCCTTTGTTCAGCTATTGGTTTTCTTGCTGCTGGGTGACCATAAACACCCCCGCAGCAGCCACTAAGATACATCTTAGACTATGATCATCAGACAATTACAATTACACTATATTGCATTCAGATGAACTAGATTCCCACAGGATTGTGTGCTTTGTACATTGAGGAGTGAAAAAGAAGGGTGTAGGGTTTACCAGATACAATTTAGTTCTTATATTTAATTATTCAGGCTCTTTGCTACATGGAGGCTGAATTGGAAGCTAATCTTGGTATGTTTCTGATCAAGATAGAAGGTATTGCAGGCTTTGCCAGAGTATGCAGAGGAGATGTATTTGAGGTATTAATTTTAATGTGAATAGAATAGCACAACAATATTTAAACTCTAGTTTATACTATTGATTTAAGATCAGGCAGTGTACGGGACTTTTATTTATATTGCTTTACAGATTACTTTTAAGTATGGTCAACAGAAGTGGAAATCAAAGTGTAAAGTGGAAAAAGACTTGAGTCAAAGCTGGGAGCATGATGATGTCGTCCTGTTTCCTCTTATAGGTGAATTCCTCACTGTAAAGGTATGCTCCTTATGGACGAAACATTTGATTGTTATACCTGTATTATAGCTTTGTTGGTATTTGTTAATATATATTTATTCTTTTAGGATCATATTTAATAGCTTTCAAGATTGTTTTTATATTAAATTATCAAGAATCTTGCCAATAAAGTTGATGTGTGTTTTGGAATTTTACTTTATTGATTTAATTATTCATACCAAGCAAGATTACCTTACTTCCACATGTATAATGACAACAGTGTTGGTAATCAATAAGAATGCTTTTTAATATAGATACAGTATTAATATTATTATCTTTGATGATATGAAGCTCAGATTGTTTCCACTGATTGGACAGTTTAAATTAAAGTTTCATAGCTTTGAATCGCAACCATCTTTTCTACTTTTAACCTAATATATGTAATTTATTGCATTTATGATCTTAGGTTACTGAAATCCGGGGTATTGGCAGGTCGAATGTGGTAATAGGTAATTTAGAATTTGATACATCTGACTTTTACCAAGCAGAATCTCAAGTAAGCCAACAGTTTTTACACAGTATTTTACAATACAATTTTTCCACTGTGCTCATTTGTAAAAATATGAAAAAGTATATGATCACAAAATGTGGCATATGTCTGATAGTCTTTTTGTGAATTGCATTGGTAATTTTTGTTTTTGACCTTTCCGCTAAGCCCCGCCCCTTCGATATTGTTGCTAAGGTCCCACAAAATGACAGTGTAAACACATACGCACTCATGTGTGTCTGTGAGACATGCTCATATTCCTGGCTGTGTTCTCATAGGTCAGAAGTTTGATTGAAACTCCAGAAAGTTCCATTGATTCTGGTGAGAATCGAACCTACATCATCAAGATTAATTACCGTAATTATCAGTAGCATAACGCCTCGGGAGGTGAATCCCTAGGCTCACAGTGCAAAGGCACCCCGGAGGGCCCTCCTACTAATAAGCAATACTCTTCCAACAAATCCCTAACATTATAGTCCAATAAAAGACACCCAATACTAGCAAATTAAAACAATATAATACCACATTTTTAGCTCACATAAGTCCTAAGTGGACTCACATGACAACACTTCTATTATACAATATCAGTTCCTGACCCAATATGCTCCACAGTCGGACTCCACTACAAATTGACATTTAAATACTCCATAATAATGAAGTAAAGGGATACGAAAATTCACAGAGAATTCAAATTAAGTTATAGTAATATAACACGCTACAGTATTGTTTGATACTCCACTGTGAAGAGACTCCTCATAATCGGCTACTAAAATACATGGGACCCTCAACACTGTGTCGTCCCGAGGCCCAGTGACTTGTTGTAATGCCACTTGGTACCATACAACTAGACCATTGAATTTTACTTAAATGAAACTTGTTTACTATAAACACCTTTATGTTTTATTGTATTATAAAGCGAAAGTCACAAAATTGTTTGAAAATACTGTTATAGGACACAGATAATGACCTTTCCAAAAAAAAATTATTATAATCAAACTACATACATACATACATTATTTTGTAATTTTAGTTAGAGTTATAACTTACCTGTGCCTGTAAATTTATATTGGCTTCAACAGTCTGAATATATAATGCTTACATCTGGTTTATTCACCATATAAAGCTGGAGTGAGGTGGTGGGCCTCCTCATAATTGTTTTATTGAAATAATGTATAAATTGTTTTACAAACATTTTCACATTTTTTTTTTCATAGTTTGTCTGTAAACTTATTATGTATGTGTACTGTCTTATTGTATTCATTGCCATAATTTGTTAAAGGAGTTTGCCAGAATAATGATTATTATCATAAACCAGGCTTGATTTTCATGTTTTTATTGCAGTCGCTAACAATTGATGTGAACGAGAATGGTACCATCAAAATGAACATGAATGTTACATGGTGGTAAGAATGTCAATGTTGTCTTGTATTGTTAATTGTATTAATTTTGTAATAAACTAAATATAATTTATAAACAAAATACAATATAAACACATAAAGAGATGAAACAACTATTTACAAACAAAATTCATTGAGCAAAAAAAGAAAAAAAAATAATAATATTATGCATTTAGGTGGAAAGAAAGTAAATGTTCTACTACAGACATTTTAAAACAGGACAGCAAATTTTAAAGTTAATTTGAAATCCAGAAAATGGATACAGTAAAAGTAGTGTCATTGAAAACGTGTTTGGCTCAAGGCCAGTGTGAACTGAAGTTGATTGCAGACTGACTGGATTACATTGGCAATGTAATTGAGGATGTTGTTCTCGATGTGAAGCAGCCCTGATCCAGTTATCATTTAAAAACGTTCAGGACATGTGTCTATGTTTCTGTTACCACATGCTGTGCGTTTTTTAGGTTTGTTTTTTGCGACTGGTGTAGATTGGCTTTATAAAGATAAAAAAATTTAATCTTCACGGCTGTTGTTGTTGTTGTTGTTGCTACCAGAACTTCAAAAGCATAACGGACGTGCAGGAAATTTTGTACATATAAACTAGAGGTGATTTAAAACAAACTATCGTTGCCCTTTTTTAAAATTGGACCACAGGGTGTCTCCCCCCCCCCTTCTACACCTACAAATCAAAACAGGGGCAGCAAGGACTGTACATTACTGCCATTACCACTAATAGGGCATGTTGCATGGATGGCTCAGTCGGTTAAGGATGTGTTCTAAAGTTCAAATCGCATCTTGATATTCAATTTTTTTTTCCAATTTTATTATTTTGTTCAATTTTAAGATATTTTAATTTTGTACATTCTAAATAATAATTTTTTTTGTACTAATAAACATTTTAAATTTTTAAAAATTTCCATCTCTTTCAAAAAACCCAATATCATAACTTGTGCCTGTACCACATTTAAGCATGGAGGAACTTGCAGACCGGGAAGCGGTCGCTCTTGTTGTCCATGGAATTTCATGACTTATACCAAACCTATTGCTGACAATTATAAGCATTTCAGTATTCCATAAGCCTATGACATAATAATAATATGTTAGATATATATAGCGCTTAACACCAACAAGGCCTCTAAGCGCTTCGCATTACTACCCCCGGTTATTGGATTAAACGCCTATGGAACACAAACTCAAGCTCCATGGGGGAGTATTCCATAAAGTTGCAGCAGCTACATCAGCGCATTTTGGCATTTAACCCTACCAGGTACCCATTTCTGGGTGGAGAGAAGCAATGCAGATAAGTGCCTTGCCCAGGGACACAAGTGAAATGCACAGCGAGGGATTGAAACCCCGACCATCCAGCTGTATGTTAGCTGACATTGATTCACTTTCATACTATAAAAACTCATTTAATATATATATATAGGTAAATATTAGGTGTTTGACTTGTCACTTTCTAAATTAAAGGAAACAAAACTTTTCTGTCATTGTGTCACTTGTGTAATTTCTATATGTTTGCTAATTTTTTTTTTGGACAATTTTGTCAACATGGTTTACCTTTAGGAATAGATTAGTTTACTGTTAAGTATAATTTTTAGTTTTTTTCATTATTACAGTCCTTTCCAAGCAACTGACGAGGAGCAAGTTCGCAGTCCAAAAGGATCTTACGGAAAAAGGGAACGGTCTTTCACAGAGTCATCTGGAGGACATCCATCTAGTACTAATGTAAGACATACAGGCAAAAACTAGAAATCCATTCACTAAAAAATGCTCATCTTTAAATTGTAACATCCATTTGGCCTATTAAGCATGAGATTTAAAAGAAACTTCTTTTATAAAAACTTATTATTACTCTTTCTAATGCTTGTTCTCTAGCGAAGGATTCATTTCAATTGACTTTTGTATATGGGAAACTATGTGACTGTGACATGTTTGATATGTCGAGTTTGTAAAAAAGAAACTCAGCCAACATTGGTTCTGAATTTTGGTAAAGATATACATGCCAGTTTTGCTTTTTTTATGCACTTTTCTTATACACAGACATTTGGTTCATATTTTTAATGGAAAGTAGGTTGGGGAAAAAAATCATTTACATGAAAATAAAATAATAATTTACCAGTAAATAGTAAAAACCACAAGAGCAGTAGCCCCCACTTGAAAAGAAAGACACTTGTAGTAATATGCAATTATTAGTGAATGGCCACTGTTACTCCCATCGAATACAAATCATATGCCACAACACCTACAAACACTTTCTATAAGTGATTATATTGTATTACCTTTCAGCAGCGTTCTCTTAGTATGGAAGAAAGAGTGATATCTCAAGGCACTAACAGGCCTAAATCACGGCATTTTGACATGCACACAGCACCAATATTAACGTTAGAGGAAGCTTTGCATAATGTGTGTAGGCTTCTGGAGATCTTAAATGGACAATACATGGAACTGAAGGATTTGGATATGCAAGTCAGCAACCTAGATACCATCCTGAAGGTACCTTATTCCTTTCAATATGCTTAATATTTGGTTGGACTGCATTTATTGTTTTTTTCTCTGGTACTTTTTTTTATTTGTAATAATGGATTGTAAGATGCGAGCTACTTCTGTTACTATATTTTTTCTAGTTCCAGCAAATATGCTTAATGGCACAATATAATACATTAAAAATAGTAGCTGTCTGAGTGTTTAATTGATTATTTTCTTGGAAAAAAACACAACTTGTCATTTTAAAGTTTTAAAGGTAAATAAATGAATAGGTAAACTATGAAATCATCTTTATTCAATGTAGAAGAAGACAGAGGACATAAAGATTGAAAAAGAGTCTAGCATGTCAATCAAGAATGCCCTAGATAGTTTTGATTTCCTTGATGACATTGATGAAGGGTCAAGTGACCCTTATGACGTGGATAGCAGTGATGAGTGAGTATAAAGCTGTTCCCATAGTTATAACAGAAAAGACTGTGTGTCTAAAAAAAAGCACGATTAATAAGGATTCTTACATAATTTCTATATTAAGTCTAAACAAATTATTTTTAAATACTATCAAATTCATGAAAATCTATACCTGATTAAATTACCAATATTACTATTATTAGCATTTTCTTTATTATTATTTTCATTGTTATATTTACTTATCAATTTGTTATTATATTTTGTAAGCTGATATTAGACATACAGATTGACAAAAAAATTTATTTACTTAAAAATTTGTCAATTTATTACATTTTGTAAGCTGATATTAGACATACAGTACATGCCTTTCTATGTTTTGGTTGCTCATTGGCTAACCTAGAACTCACTAATGATAGTTCAGTGTTTTCATCATATCTATGGCAAGTACCAACCTTTGACATTTTGACTGCTGACAAAAATATACAAACCATCAACAGAGAGGAAGGGTGGACATGAAGTTTCCCATATCTACAATGACTTAATCAACGAGGGTGCCACCTGTCAGCTAGAAAAGGGGGAAAATGTGGGTGTAAAACATAATCTAAGTGACAACCATACCCAATCTACAGATTGTTGTCATTAGCATACTCTAATCAAGGCTAGCAGATGAGCAATTAAAACATTTTTTTCTTACAATAAGAATTAAATTAATTATTTATTGTTATTATTACTATTGTTATTCATCTGTTTATTTGTAGGCGCAACACTCATGTTGATTATTTTTCTATTGTATTTTTTTCTGACAGCAGTATTAATGAAGAATCACCAGAATCTGCAGTTGAGACAGAGATGAACAACAGTGATGAAATAACCAAATTAGAATGCAATAAAAGCAACATTAATGAGACAGATGCCAGTCTACTAAACAAACAAAACTCTTTAACAGACTCAAATGACAAAGATAATAAACAAAATAAAATTGATAAAAATAGAAATAGTTGCCACTCTACCAATATTCATACGAATCATGCTGATATTACTAGCAATGGAACTGGAAAGGAGGATTTTCCACTTCCTATGGACAAAACAAACAAACTATCTGCTTGGAGTGGACAACGAGAGAGTTTATTCATGGAATTTATGGAGAAACGTGATAGTTGGCTTTTTGATGGTAATTTTCGAGCTAGTCGGCTTTTTGAAATGTCTGAACAACGTGAATGTCGGTTGATTGATGCATGCGATGATGCTATTGGCAAATCAAGTATGAGCTTAGCTTACCTGACCACCGGAGATGATGGCATTGACCAAACTCTTGTGCAACATCTCCAGTTCATTGAATACTTATTAACAGTAAGTGTCTTAAATTTTGCTATACATGTCATCATTCCTTATGATGACATAATTAATGTCGAAATATTGAATCCCAACATGATGATGTGCATTTCGATACTTGGAGTATGTATTATACTATCCTATTTTGCTGCCAAAGATAATAGTATTAGAAGAAAATTTTCTAATTATTTATTATTCAGTGACTCAGTATAAAACAAATACATTATGTACGTAAACTATCATTGGGAATTATTTATGCACTAAAGTGTCTTTTTATATGTACTATAATTTGTAACATCAGTGCTTTATATATATTTATACAATAAACCTTTTTTTCTTGTTCAAACTAAAACTAAAAATATTATTAAGTCTATTTCTTTATAAAATTCTTTTCATAGCATCTTGGTGCATTTGGCCCTTTGAAAGTCAAAGAAACGATAGCCTTGGAGAAACTGCAGAAGCAAGCCAGTATTCTGTTACAACTTAACACTTTAGTTGATAAAAAGACCAAGGTTTCAACACCAGAAGATGGTAAATGGAATATAAATTAGAAAGTTTATATTAAAAGAAATGAAATTTCACATTGGAGTTGTTAAGCTTAGAGGTTAAGATGCTTTCCTTCTAATCCCAGGATTCTGGGTTCAATTCCTTTTGACTTTTTCTCATGACTAAAAAATAACTGTCTTAAAGAGACCATGTTTATAAAGCATTCTCCATCCTGTAATTGGTGAGTTACTTGCTGCTGGATGCGAATGAAATAAAACAAAATACAAAGAACCTGTCAAGTGGGCTAAGCTGCTTATTCAAATTTGGGGTGTTCAAAAAAAATGTTTTCATTTTTTTCTGACTTGTGTTGATATGAAGTTTTTATTATAGTACTGTATTATTCTTTTTGTAGTGTATCCTGATTTGAAGTTAAACCCAGACCTTGTTTCCTTCTGGGAATGCTGCTCTGAGAAAGAGGTATTGTACGTGAACACAGATTCTTTTCTCCTACATCTTGATGTTAAGTTTGGTGCTAAACTACGAACCAATCACCCTGACATTGCTGATAGAGGTGAGTTTTGTCCTCCATTAAAAAAGTGTAAATTTATCATTTAACACATTTATTTATATAATTATTTATACATAATTCAATATTACCTCCGCCAACAAGGTTATGTATTCACCGCTGTCTATCAGTGTAGTGTATGGCAGTTTGTGTTGAATGATCAGGGATATATATGAACATGCATGTTTTATGATTCCATCATTGTTATTTTGTAGCATATTTCTCTATTCACTATTGTTTTCTTCAATTTAACCTGCTTTAAATTAATCATCTATTCATTGCTGCGAAGCAGCCAATTCATATTCTTGACAGCAATTTGACCTCTGAAAGGTCATTGTTTGTCAAAAAACGAGTGCTTGAAACGACTGAAAAGCGGAGTTTCCTTCTTTCGTTTTGCCGGGTAAAATCAATTACTTTAGGCGACGTTTGTAGACTAACCTACTCGTACCAACGTCCGCATGTCGCGCTAGCCTTATCCTACTCTAGGCCTAGACTAGCTAGGATGGTAATAAATAATTTTGTTCGAAGAACATTTATATGCAGTTGTACTTCGCAGCACTTCACTTGCAATTTGCAATTTCTAGTTTATATATTTTATAGACCCTGCTGAAACATGTTTGTTTGTTAGACAGGCTAGAGCAAATTAAACCTCAGGCTTATGCCTGACATGAGTATAGTACACTCATGTAACACTACAGTATAGTGTTGTGATTGGCTAAAATAAATGTTTATTTGCTTTATTATAGTGTTCCAGAACCTAACCCAACAGATTATAGAAAGGCCTGTGAACTTGCTGAACCCCAAGACGGTTATGACACTGTTTCAGTATGTCTCATTTTTCATGGAAGATGAAAGAAAAAACCCAGAGAAATATGTAGCAGACATTACTAATGAATGTATGTATATTTGTTGGGAAAAGATATTTTTATTGTTGTTGGTCCCTATGCAACCTGCCTGTATGCACTAACAACCTATGAATGTATTATTATTATATGAATGTGGGTGTTCATGTATAGATGTGACACTGAGCTTAACAAATGGTACACATTTTGGTACTGAATTTCAGCATATATGTCTAATGCATCATTAATCATAATATTATATGTAGTTAGAGTTTTAGTTAATTTTAAAATTGTACTGATAAAATGAAAGTAATACCCGATTCACACGTACAAAAATCTTACCAAATGTAACAAAATGTAACCAAAAGTAACATTTTACGGCACGTGTGAAAGTACCTCCGTGTAATATCCTTGTAAAATCTCGGAACGTCTCGGTAAACTTTACCAGCCTCGCTGAGGCTGGTAAAGCTCCCGAGATGTAGCATGGATGAATCTGCGCATGCGAAGGGATTTCAACACAACAACAATCTACTGTGTTTCACGGGGGTCTTTGAATTTTCTTCCCGGTCTGCAGACGATTCTGATCCACTAGAAATAGATAGGCCTAGTTTTTCTCAATGATGAATGAATTACCCTTGTTATTGATGTTAATTAGTTATGGTAGAAGAAGAAGATATACATAAAATGAACGTCGGGATGGTGTTAGTACTATTACTAGTATTATCAAGAGTCGACAGAAACGTTGGAAGCTATGCCTACTTTAGTAGTAGTAGTAGTTTACAGCAGTTGTTAAGGGCATTGATTGCTTCGAATGTTTACAGTGATGGTGAGTTCAACAGTCCATCTGTGACAGTGGTTCTCAACTAGGCCTAGGCTAGACCTATATCGCAGTAGGGGAAAAATGATTCATTGAATAGACACTGAGTAAATTTTACACGACCTTGGCATTACCTTACAAACGCATGTGAATGCTTTTTATCTCAGTAGGAATAACTCGGGAGATCGCTCGGTTACAATTTGTTACTTTTTGTTAAATTTAACTTCACGTGTGAATCGGGTATTAGACATGTTTGTGTTTGTCAGATCTAAATTGATTTAGTGACAGAAACTTTCTCCTGCTTGATGTGTTCACTAGATTTTTCAAATTACTATACTGGGGTGCTATTTTTTGTTGTATGCAAATTACTGGTCTTCCTCCAATTAAAGACCACTTTTGGGACCAGGGTTTCCATGGTCTTTAGTAGCTTTGGTCTCTTGAGGTGGTCTATAATTGGAGGGAGACCTGTAGTTGATTGCTGGCAGCAAGCCATCTAGAAAAAATTACAATGAATAGAAGCTCAAAAATGTGTATACATTGGCCCATGTGCACTATAACGAACCCAGTACAACCTTTGAGACGAAAAGGGGTTCCCCGGTGTACTGGAAAAGACAGCCCCTGTAGTAGACGACGAGAGTTGCTGGTACCGGGTAGCACAGACACGAAGGGACGAGGAAAGTCATTGATCGAGTTCCTAGTCCACATATGAAGCGCCCTGAGCATCTTACATTAGATGGATATGTGCGCTATATAAAACTACACTATTATTATTATTATTAAAAATGATACAGTGCAAATGTCTTCTTCGTACCTATACCTATATTTTCTATTTTTGTTGCATTTTAGTGCCAGTAGTACCACCAAATTAAAATGGAAACTTTGGGACTGAATATACACTATCACACCATGTTTGAAACTGCAGTATTAGGGGTCATTATAAAACAAAAATAATTTGTTTTGCGATATTTCATCACATTTATTTAGGTCAGGCTAATCTCAAAAGTGGCAGACTCTCCAAGTACATTATGTTTGTTGAACTTATGTCAAATACAACAACCTCACTGGCTTCCAGTCAAAAAGCTGGTGGTGCTCTAGATCAAGCTCACCATGGGTGTTAATGTCCTGTATGTGAAGCTATCTGTTTGGGCTGCCTTCTATGATTGAGCATAGAAACAATTATTAATAGTTATCAAGGAAAACAAGGTTGGCTCATCTAAACTTAGCTTTCATTTCTTTTTGTAATTTTTGTTCTCTTACAGATGAGCTGACAGCAAACCTGCATCCTGCAAATCCAGATCTTCCAAAGGTGCTTAAGAAGCTTCCAAAAGGGGTCTTGCTTCCTGCTGGTAACCTCCAAGCTCTTGGTATACTGCTCCTGGAGAGTAGTGCCACATTTCAGACAGGTGTTCGAATGTATTTAGAATCAATTAATCAGAATGATCAGATCAGGCAAAAGGTATTTAGTTGGTGAAATTGTTGGTTAATGTTAATTAATTTGTCACTCCAAAATATCAAAGCTCTGAGAGCCTACAGGCTCAGTGAATACACTTAAGTTGTATAGGTATAATGTATTGTATTGTGTTGTAAATCAGTTCAACTGACGTTACCAGCATGTTTGAACATAAATTCGGATGTATCCAGTATATTTAGACTTGCATCATAGAAATTGTCTTGCTGAAAATTTTATGTGATATAAACTTATATTGAAAGGGTTATATGGTTACAGTACTCACTCAATTACAGCAGTTTTAGAATATATGTATTTCCATAGAACTAAAGTGTGAACTAACCAAACAATTGCAGCAGGTCATGCTAGAGCGATTTTAAATATTTTATTGCCATGTTTTGCTTTTTAAATTTCTGATGTCCATTAGGCAATCAACATATTCCTTGAATGCCTTGAAGAGAGAGACCAATCCATGAGGCAAGCTGGATGTGCTGCACTTGCTGCCATGAAGGTAAACACTGTCCGGACTATCAAATTTTATTTGATAAAGACTTGTAACATACCTAAATATGGTCCTGATGACATCACATCATGACCATATAGAGGCATTTCATGAATGCATATTAATAATAATGATTGGTATGTGGACTATTGTGAACAAAAAAAGTGATAATCTGGACAGAGCATTAGGTAATCAGCATTATCATATTGGGTAGCAGACATATTGTCAATATGATGATTTGTAGCTGCATACAGACGGGTGAAATATTTTCTCTGTCTAAATTTTGCATACCGTACTCGCACCAATAAGCGCCCGGGCGCTTAAAAATTTTTTTGCCATTTTTCAGGGGTGCTTATTCAAATGGGGCGCTTATGAAAACCGAGTGGAAATTAAGGGGGCACTTATGAAAATATATGAAAATTGGGGGTTATTCTGGGAACTTGGAAAGTTTATGAGCGATTTTTTAATGAAAAAATTTATATAAGGACATCTGAAAACCGAAGATTACGAATGGTTCTGGTGCAGAAAAGATAATCGTCCAGAGAGCATGGCTCGTGACCAGAATTCTGTGAGTTTCAACAGCAGATGAAATTAGTGGTGGTGTTGGTGGTTTAGGTGTATGAGCTTGTTGGCCATCTCCCGATTGAGATTAGCAGGATCGTTGCAGGGCTTCTTGCAAACTTAGATGAAAATGTGCTAAAGGTGCAAATTGTCGGGAAAAGAAAAAAAGAAGTAGACAGATGTAAGAAGAGGAAAGTTGGAAAGTTACTGTCCAGGGAGCTCTCACCTGTCCAGGATAAAATATCCTCATTTTGATATTGACATAAGAAAATGTGAATCCACTCCGCAGCTCAAATCATGCCAACCACAGTCTCGGGATTAGTTAGATTATCGTTTGCTAAAAAAAAATCAATCACAAGATATATTGTTTTAAAAAATGAATAAACACCGAGGGGCACTTATTCAAACGGGACGCTTAAGACAATTTTCACGTTAGGAGGGGGCGCTTATTCAAACGGGCGTTTATTCGCTTTTGGCCAGACCTTTACACATCATCATTTCTACAGAATTAGGCTGTAGACACACGCTCCCGCTGGGAGTACTTATATATTATGTACATTATTCACGATAGACTACTCATGAGATTAAGTAGAATAATATTGTAAAACCACTTACTTGTAGTGGATTGAGCCATTGATTCATCATTGGCACTAGGTGGAGGCTTGGTTGCTAGATTGCTGATCCTATCTGCGACTAAGTCTGGTCGAGTCAAACCCTGTCCCAAGAGACATTTTATTTTACAAATAAATATGTTAAAAAAATAAGTAAATAAAAAATTGATCATTTTCATGGAACTAAATTGTAAGAGAGTCTGTCCTGCATGGTAGCCCATTATAGTTGCAATATTGTCAATATGATGACAGGGGCAGCTGGGCAAGAAGAAAAAGAAGAGTACACGCACCTTTCCACAATTATAAAAGAGTCTGTCCTGCATGGTAGCCCATTATAGTTGTAATATTGTCAATATGATGACAGCAGCAGCTGGGCAAGAAGAAAAAGAAGAGTACACGCACCTTTTCACATGTCATTGTCATCACTGAGAAAAAAAATAGGCTCCCAGCGGGAGCGTGTGTCTACAGCCTAATTCTATAGAAACGATGATGTGGAAAAGGATTAATGATTTAATGGTTTTACATGTGGGTGTGTTGACTCTCATGTATAATTGCCTATTCATTGTATACACTACAGTACACCATGGTATTTCCTGTTAATAGATATATTACAGAGATAGTGATATCCTTATCCTGTTACCAGGACAACTCTTCCTGTTACTAACCACACATACTGTACCTATTTTAGATATCCACCTACACATGACCTCCACTGGGGCAGGGGAGGGGGCAGTGGACACAAAAACAACTCATAAATGATGATTTTAGAATGTCTATGCATGATTTCAAAATGTCTTAAGTTAAATGTATCATCCATGCATAATGGCGTAATGCTGGGTCCAGGGGCCCTGTGGCTGTCTGATTTCCATTGAGGAATTTTAGGTGTGCCTCAGCCCCACGATGGTTGGGGCTGAGGTAAGAAAAGTTATGATTATGGCTCCTCTAGATGGCCTCTGAATCCATACTATTTAGGAAGCTGGTACGATATTAAAGAATTACTTTCCTTATGCAGGCATCAGAGGCGCTTGATCAGCTTGTGTACCTTTTAAGATGTGATGTTGATGATGTCAAAACAACTGCCAAAGAAGCCTTAGAAGCATTTGGTAAGTCTTTGATCAAACTTATTTTGGAAGCGTTTGGCACAGCGGTTGAAACTTAACCTCATGGTCTGGGGTTTAAAACTCTCGCTGTGCAAGTCGCATGTGTCCTTGGGCAAGACACTTTTTCTGCATTTTTCTCTACCCAGGAGTATAAATATGCTGGGAAGGTATCGGACTGGCTGTGAGTAGTGGCGATCCCCTCAAAGCATTGCACAGTCGACTGTTACCCCTTATTTGAGCAGTGGCAGTGCAATGGGGGAGGGGGACAAAAAGGCATTTTCCCAAAAAAGTTGTCTTTTCCCAGTGTGCCCCGACAACCCACAAAAAGATTAAAAACCACAATTCGTGAGGGAGAAAAAAAAATTATATGTATTTTCTATCTATCTATAAAATAAGCCTATGAAACCCCTAAATTGTAATATTTTTCATTTCGAAACATTTTAATCGATCCCAGCACACTTTGCTCTCATCGGGGACTTCCCCCTCTCCCCCCC